TGAGAAAGAAGTAAAAGGGGAACAAAATCAGGAGTTACTAATAAAGAGGCTGGCTTTGATAATGCAAATGGAGATTGCCAAGGTGTAATTAGACATCAGAAAGAGAGACATGGGAAATATTGCAGACTTTCTGTAGGTAGGTAGAAATATGGGGACCTAAATACATAGAGTAAAACTAGCTGCTTTAGAATCCAATGCTGTTCAAAGACAAAAATCAACAAAATGTTTTAATTGTAGTGCATTTGGCCACTTAAAGAGCAATGTAAATTGTTCTTATGACAAAGGAATGTTCAAATCAATGAGTACCTGGCTTATGCCCTAAATGAAATAAAGGAACATTGGGCTAAGGCATGCCAGTCTAAATAGGATGAAATGGGACAGTACATACCGTAGCAACAATAAGAATACATGTCAACAACAGGATAATGGATTGAGGGCCCCCATCAGTCCCTGTAAAACTAGAGGGTTTAAACCCAAGAACAATGACATTCATGCCAACCCCAGATTGTAAATCTATTATTTTGTTACAAGCTGCTGCTCAAGGAAATGCTGCTATTGATATTCATTATCCTAAATATATTGCTGGTTCCCCTCTTCAATGTCCTTTTCAGTTACACACGCAGTATTAGGGACCTATACTTCTGGGAACAGTTGGACTTTTATTGAGTTCCAGTGGTTTATCCATGAAAGGAGTCATTAACACAGGAGTCATTAATAAAGATTATATAGGAGAAATTGCAGTCATGATCACAGTGCCCACTGATTGGCAATTGAAAGCAGGAGAAAATATTCAACAATTATGATTGCTTTATGTAGCCCCTTCACACACACAAAAAAAAACTGTACTTTTGTGAAGGATGATTTTGTAGTACAGACAAAACTGCAGCTTTAATCACTTTACTGAAGAAAATGATAAACCATATTCGATTTAAAAATGAAAGGAAAAACTTTTACAGGATTAATTGATTCTCCAGCTAATGTGTCTATTATAACCATAGAAGAATGGTCCTCCAAGTGGCCTGTTATGAGGTAAATTCAACCCTAATTATGGACCTATGAGCTCTAAGGAAACAAAGTGAAACAAAAATACAATACATAGGTCCAGTAGGCATAATGGCAGTCCCACAGCCAGTTACTAACACTGCAATAAATCTTTGTGGGCAGAGACTTTCTATAAAAAACTAAGGCAGAGATCTGTATTCCCCCTTCTCATGCTACCTAGTCTTCATAAATGTATTGACTATGGAAACAATGGGATATCAAAAAGGAAAAAGACCAGGAAGTGTTTCAAGGAACTTTTGAACCTATATTCCCACAGAACAAAATCATAAACATGGATTGGATTTTTCATAGCGGCTATTGAAAAGTAACACCTACAAAATTACACAGAAATCTAGTGAGCCTGTCTGGACACCTCAGTGCTCCCTTTCTAAAGAAAAGTCATGGACTCTTTACCAATTAGTCAGAGAACAATTGGAGTATAGGTGCAAAGAACCAGTTTTTTTCCTTCCAGAAATTCTCTTGCTTTTGTAATGGAGATTGTTGATTGACTCACAGATTGTTAATGCCATCATGTGGTCAATGAAAGCTTTACAGCCTGGTTTACCTATGACCACAGTTATTCCTACAGATTAGCCTTGAATAATTTTGTATTTAAAAGATTGCTTTTGTAATATACATATTCATCCTGATGATAAGGTACATTTTCCCTTTTCTGTTCCCTTACTAAATCATAAATAACCTCAGTTTTGAAATCACTGGACCACACCACCTCAAGGCATAAAAAACTCCTCTATTATGTGACAATACTATTGTAGGAAAAGTTTATAGCCTGTAAGGCAGGCCTTCCCTCAGGCTTATATTATTCTTTGTATGAATGATATCTTGTATTAGCCACCTCCAAAGAGGAAGAGGAATACTCTATATGTGATAAGACTCAGGATATGCTACATAAATGAGGGCTTATTATTGCACCTGAAAGATTACAAAGATCAGAAACTGTAATATTTGGGACAAATGGTTACTTGAACAACAGTTAAGGCACACCAAAAAGAGTCAATTAGACAAGACAATTAAAAAACTCTTAATGACTTTCAGAAATTAGTAGGAAGCATTATTTGGTTATGTCCCACTTTAGAAATACCTAATTAATATAAGAACCAATCTACTTAAAACTCTAGAAGAAGAGATGTTGTTGTATAGTCCTTGCATATTACTGTGAGAGGTAATAGGAGAACTACAGTTCTTTGAATCCAGACTTAACAAGGTATTTGTGTATACTGTGAATCCTTCACTTCCTTTAAACTTACTTATTTTCCCCACTAAATTGTCTGCTCCATGTATTATAGCCTAAGAGGATAAACCTTTGGAATGAATTCATTTACACCACAAAGGCCATAAAATACTAACTTCTTAGCTTACTCTTCTTGCTCAATTCATAAAGCAGGTGAAGACAGGATGCCAACAATTATATGGATTTAATCCATGCTGTATTATGCTTCTTTTAACTAACAATAGTTTTCCAGAGCATTACAGATCCCTATGGATTCATAATTTCTCTGTGTAGCTTTGGAGCCTATCCTGGCACTCACTCTGGAGATGAGGCTGGCCTCGAACTCACAGAGATCCTCCTGCCTCTGCCTCCTGAGTGCTGGGATTAAAGGCGTGCACCACCAACACCTGGCACAATAGGAAATCTTTGTCCAGCTGGAAAACTATGGGATTTTCTCATATGAACTCAATTTGTGATTACAAAAATTGACCAACCTTCTCTCATTCCACAGACAGATATTTATTTTATTGATGGCTCATCTAAGGATAGAGGAGAGATTAATTGTCCAGATAGTCATCAATTTAGTAATAGTTTAATTGTCCTTTTGATTCATCTATTATGGTTAATTCATAAATGCTTAAATATTGTTTCAGATTCTGCTTATATTGTATTATTATTTTCAGCAGTACAAACTGCTTTAATTTTATCTTTTCATTCTGTTATGCTACCATTACTACAGAAAGTATATCTGGTTAAAACCCACATAAATCCTGTGTTTATTACTCATATTTGTGTACACACTAACCTCCCTTATTTTATTGCAGAAGGAAATAATCCAGCTGATATATTAACCGTCCCTATTTTTACTTTGCCAGAATAGGAACATCAATCGGAACACCTGCACATTAATAGACTTCTTGAGCAAATATCACATCTTGCTTGGACAACAGAGACAAATTATGCAGGAATATCCTATCCCTTCTGCTATCATGGTCATATAACTGGAGTTAATCCCAGAGGTAAAAATACTAATGAATTATGGCAAATGGATGTTACTAACTTTGGTCTTGTGCCTTAGATGTCATAGTTGCATGTTTGCATTGATACATATTCTAAATTTCTTCGCAATGAAATTAATTCACCAGAGAATGCTTCTGTGGTATATTTTTCTTTTATGCAAACTTTTGCTGTTGCAGGAGTACCTACTTCTATAAAACAGACAATGGACCATTTATAGCATCGAAGAAAATTATGAACTTTTGTAAATGATAAAGTACTAATCATATTACCAGCATATCTTAATCTCAAGGATAGGACATAGCACATAGAACATTAAAATAATAATTATTTAAATATTTTAAAAGGTCAGCATCAAGGGATCTTCTTGCATTTTATTTACTCTTCATTCTTAAAAGTTGTCTCAAGGTGGTATTTGCTTGAGAGCTCAAGAACATTGCTGCACAGATCATTCTGTGGATCATTGTCTTTAGATAGGCCTGTGTGATTTAAGTATCTCTAATTGCAGATGGACCCACTGAAACATTATGGATTTCTCTTTAGCTCCACAAGTCTCAGGCCATCAAGGACATCAACAGAGGCCAAGGAGACAATAGTGGTCACAAAGGGCATATATATGGATCATGTCTTCAAAAGTCAAGTCTGCTAGTCTGAGGCCAAGTTTAGCCCCAGTGCACCAAGTGGTGACATTTCTTCACTAATGACTCTTTTTTTACGACTGGACCTTGGAACCATAGAGATTGATTCATCCATCTGAAGAAGGGACTGGGTTTAAATTTTCCATGGGATTTGAATCACTTCCCATTTGCATAGGACCTTATAACATTTGTATTCACATTAAAGATAAATGTGTACTTACTTTATGCAAGAAAACAGAACCAATAATCATGTGGGTCATTTTGAAGCTATTCTCTAGATTTTTCTGATTGATATAATAATGTAATTAATTGTACTGGATGTAGTATGGATCTCAGCTATAATCAAAGAATAACACATAATGTTTTCACTGGTCTAAAATTATTCATTGTGTTTACAATTTGCTTGCTTATAGAATACTTGTGCATCAAGTGACAATTAGATTTCTCTATAATATCTCAAATCAAAACTACTCTAGATATACTACTACTACTAAAAAATAAAGGGGGCATGTCAGAACACAGTCTAAGGATGGAGCCATACCAGGGGAATTTTGAGTGCGTGTGTTAAAACTCCAAGAAATAAAAGAACTGACTTGTGACCTTGGTTTCTTCAAAACACAGGATTGTTCTTGGAATGTGTTTTTGCTTTATTTCAGATTACTCATTATTGCCTGCTGTTGTTATGCAATTAAATATTCAAACAATCCTTTATAAGTCTCTATGGAAAAATGTTTTTGTCATGTGTGGCTTGTCCTTGTGTTGGTATATGACTTGAACTCATGAGAATATTACTCATGTGACAGTTCTTAACTCTCAAGAGTATAAATTAGACTGAATAAATTTGGCTACTGAATGAGACTTCAGTACACCTCAGTTATCAGCTCCATTCTCCCAGGTTGCACCACCTCCAGAACAGTAACAATGTAAAGGTAACAAAATTATTTGCAATCGAACCTTAGATATTATATTTTTGTCAAAACATCAAACTACTGTTTGCACCCAGGGGATTTAATAATTTATTTACTACTACTTAAGAACACACAAGATTATTATTTTAAAATAGGTATTCATACCGTCATAAATCCATCCAGCAGACCTGAATCAGGTTTTGGGGGTGCCTGCAACCGTTCCATAGACCACTTTTCAATGATGGAGGAGACTTGGGTATTCTCTGTATTTAAAATTCTGAACCCTGTCATATTTACACCGCTGTATCTGTAGGGCTCCACATCAAGAGCAAAGAGGTCCTGAAACAGAAATTTCCTTCTGTTATCAAAAGTAGATTTTATTCACAAGAATACAGTGCTGAAATCAATACATTTTATTTTCCTTAGAAAACTTACAACACTATATCTCAAATCATGTCAAGCATTATAAATCAATTAGATTCAAATCAACAATCCTCATATGCAGACAAGGCAAATGTGTATACTCTGCACGTGAACACAAATCTTGATTACATTAAAATTTAAGCAACAGAATAACATAAAGTATTTCTGTAACATACATTTACTATTTCTATATTTCTTGGGCTTTATACTTCTATAATCTTTCTTGGGCTTTATATTTTATGCAATGGTATTTTTCTTTTACAGAAGTATTTTTTTCTTTACTTTGCTTCTTTTTTTTTTCAATTTTAAGCGATACTTTATATACAATGGGGAAAAACACATGCATAATCCAAATACAATATTGACAACAGCATTTTCATAACAAAAAATCTCCCAAACACTAAGTGTTAATACCATGTACATGAATTCAAGAAGGACCACCCTTTTTGTCTGTTGCACACAATTTATTTAACAATGAGATAAAAGAAATGAGTTGGTATTTTACCATTCTATACAGTGATTAGATCTTCTTGAATTTTCTTACTTATACTAACTATAGCACTTGCATGATTTACACTAGAATTGCTTTTCCTCATTTCAAGTTTCACAAGAAGAAAGAAAAGAATGCTTCTTCTCTAGTAACATTAGTATGGTCTAAGAGAGTAATCATCCCTATTTTTGTCTAAACCCAGTTTTATCAGAGAAACAAAACAACAATTTCTACATCTGCAAGACAAGAGGTTGGCTTAAGCCAGCATGCATAGATAAATGTGTGTGGGTGTGTACATGTGTGCACGCTGGAGTCAATTCCTATTGTCCAGGGTAATACTTGGAAATACCCACAGAGTTCACTATAGAAAAAAATCTTCCAGCAAGATCAGCTTGGGAGACATTATAAGATGCATTATTTCTAGAACCAGTTTCTGAGTATTATTTTTCTTTTCACTTTTAAACACAAATGTTTAAGTGATGAAAATACAAATAAAAATATGAATATAATGAACTTGTTTTTCCCATTAAAAAAAGGCATGAGTCACTTGCTTCTTAACCAGTAAGTCACATTTTAACTTTGTTTTGTCTGGGTTTCTTTGTTTCATTTGCTTTTCTTTTTCTTTTTACTTTGGAGGAGCCAATTATGAAGTAGTGCTCTAATTACTAATAAGTATATGAAAGATGAGAAAAATGTTACCATCATTAATTTGTTAGATGTAGGAAATTTGAACTACCTTTATTATATGGCCCATGTGAGCCTCACCTTTAAAATCTATACACCATGAAAATCCTTGTTCTGACTATTAGTTTTCCTGGCAGACATGAGGCCAAGGCTATCAACAAGGTTGGGTGTTATCATATGGACACAGAGCACCTGACACTTCCATCCACTTTTTAATTACCATAAGGAAACTTTTAGCTCTTCCTAGACACACTGAAATCCAAGGCACATCAATGTCACTGATCCTGTGTACATCTTCCTTCCTTTTCACACTGCTGTATGTTCTAGGGGGCAGGTACAAAATCCATAGGAAAGCAGCTAGGATTGTCCTGAGTTGTACACTTTGCTTCAGAGGATTATTTACAATTTTAGTATTTAATTATATGATCTATCCAAAGAGATAAGATATGCCTTACTCAAGATGGAAATTATTAATGTATGGCTATATGTCAAGATAGAAAATACTTAAAATGATGAGCAAATTTGAAGTTACAAACAAGCTACTTGGTGAGTTTTCTTGTGAATGACATTTCATATAGCAAACAGGATCTGAGCTGTAATGTGGCTCAAACACTTTTCACAAAATATAGAGACTTAGCATCTGAGTGTTTTAAGATGAAGGAAACAGAAAAGTGTAGAAGCAGAGGGTTACTCGCTGACCCTCTCTCAACTTTCCTAGAGTGGGGCCATAAAAGAATTCCTTTAGTCTACTTCGTTAAAAATAGGTTATAAGAGCCTCTTTTGTCTCTACCACACACTATCTCACTGTTGGAGCAACACTCCCAGACCGGGAAAAGTTCAGAATGCAGAAACTCATGGCTGTTCAAGGTATGCAGAATAAGTGATTGCTGAGTGTTTAGTGCTAAATAGGACATTTATAGCACCATCTCTAAGTCTCACAGAACATAAAGTAAGAGAAAGCAGAAAGAATAGAGTGTGAAGATAGAGTAGGGGGGTTGTGAAACAGTCATTGCAAATGTGATCTCAGCAACTGTGGTTGCCTATCCTGGGCCTACGTAAGATTCAAGCTGTCAGCAAGCAATCATAAACATGGCATACTGGGCCTGACCCTTCCTGTAGAACCATTGGTTATGATGGATTCTATGGGATCAATAGTCAGTTTTTTATTGAGTCTGAAACACTGAGCTTACCCAGCCCCAATGAAAAGTTTCCTTCACTGACACTCAAATGGTCCTAACTGAATTCCATGGGTCACAAGAGAAGGCAAAAAGATACAAGCATGGAAAAGAGACCTGTATTAAAGAAGGCAGGGCATGAAAGAGGTAGGACAAAAATAAGAGAAGTTTGTAGTGAGAATAAACATAATACAATACGCTATAAACATTTGTAAATTTTTACAAGAACAAATGTAATTAATTTTTAAAATAGTGAAGGAATTCTTTATTTCCAGAAGATTGCCACCCAGTGTTTGAAAGTTCTTCATTTCTAGGAGAATCAAAATAAATAGATTTCTATCTATTTCACCTAATTCACTGTTACTAGAAGATACCACATTTTTATCCAACTGTATTTACAAACTGCTATCTACTCTTCAGCAAACCACAGTTCATCCTGTCTTTTGCTCAGATGGATCTCAACCATGTAATTTTAAGATAAGGAAATCTGAATTACATGACAATCCCAGAATTCAATCGTGTTTGTAACTCAAATAAAAAAAATACATGAATAAAAAAAATGATAAGGAAATCTGTCCCATATTCCTTCACATACATCTGTCTTTAAAGAATGACAACCATGTTGATAAAGCCAAGGGGATTCCAAATATGAGTAGAAATATAAGAAAGAAAATATATAGCATGATTCCTATGACAAGATTGACTAAAATCAATTTGATTGCAAAAGAGAATTCATAAAAGTAAATCAAAGCAAAGAACCTGGGAAATTTGGGTTATAATTAAAGAAGTACAGACCTTTAGATATAGCCTAATTTGTTATAAATATCTTAAAATAAGTGTTTTATTCTTTCCTTAACTATAATATATAATTTTCAGCATTTTATAATTATGTTGAATCAAGTTGCAATAGCATTATATGGAACTGTGTGATAAGGAAAGATCACAATTCCATCTTCTCCAAGTTTCCTATAAACTGTAAAACTCATCAAGGAAGAGGTGATGGAGCAACATAGCAGAGCCAGTCCTGGTGTTTGTGCATAACATACAGCCAACTTTGCAAAGAACCCTGCCTGAAGTAATCACTATCTCCCAGAAAACTACTGAGAACAACTGGATTTTAATAACTGCCAAAGCCCAAATAAGGAACTTCAACGTTATAAAATAAATAGCAAGAACACTGTCTAGACTATTAATCAATGGAATAGAAAAAAATTCTTCTATAGAAGGTATACAGTAAAGAAAAATAAACAGAATCTTATTGATGATATAGAATCAACATTACTTAAAGTTCTGAATGAAATCAAAGAGTAATTGATTTGTGAAATAATAAATTAATACAAAACATTTGTTTTGAATTAATAACAAGATTGAAATATTTAGAATTTAACTATGGCAGCCACGAAAATTAGACACATGCATTTTAGTCATTAATTAAGCAAAGGTGATAATTGACCATTAAATATATGACAATGTAAAGGCAAAAAGAAATCAGGATAGAGGCTGAAATGGGAAAGAAAGGATTAGGGAAAGAGGTAGAAAGCTACTTCACAAGAGAAATGAGAACTATGAACTATACAGAAGAGGAAACACAAGTGAAGCAGGTTCTTGAGATGCACACTTATAATCCTAGCAATCACAAGACACCTGCAGGATTGTAAGCTCATATACATCCTGGGCTATATAGCAAAAAGAAAAAAGGTAAAAAGTGAAAGAGGGAAGGGGGAGGGAGGGAACAAAAGGATGTCAGGTAAGAACCATTCATAAAATGGTGAAAACATTTTTCTTGCATAATAAAGAAAATGTCATGGGTATTTGAAGTCAAAATATAAAGGTAGCACACAATTTGCTTATTGCAAATTAAATCATATTGACCTAAAATTACTAAACATTGTTAATTTAATAAACTGATAGGGCAATTAGAAAAGACTTATTTCAAAAACACATCCAAATCCAGCCAACACACAAACAAACAAGAGAAGAAGTAATAGCATAACACATTATGGTGGCCTAACACACTGATTTTTGTGGGGAAGCTAATTTTAAAATCTACAATGCCATTAAAGTCTCTGGAGCCACATAAACAGACACACAATTTCCACTGATAACTGAAATAACATAATTTCAAAATCATCAGATTTCTTCCAAGTGTTATTAGTGCTATCGTGTGATTCCTTTCAGGCTGTATCAAAATAATGCAAACTAAAAATGTGTTATTCATTATATTACTTCTTCTCACTCAAAACCACATTTTCCACCATTTTAAAGTCATAACAATAAAATACATGGCATTATTTTTATGTTTTAATAAAGTACTTACCAGAGTGGTGAATATATAATGATAGTACTCTGTCATCATTCCCATAGCTAATGCCTAAGAGGTAAAGAATCAAATGAAACAAAACGATTAACATTGAATGTGTACATAATTGGAAATACATTATTTTAGTATGAAAGGTAATGATAAAGTATATGACTTGATGAATAATCTCAATTACTCATGGTACATAAAATTGGAGCGTACTGAATTTTCCCAGTAGTAAGAAAAAATTAGTTGTTATTAAAGGAATTTTTGAACATTTTCTTTTGACAGAAAAGCTATTTCTTGAATGTTTGCAATGGTATGGCTGATAGTATTTCATTTTGACAGCATTAAAATTGATGTAAAACTTGATATTAGCACATTTGTTCCTTGTATTTGTAATATACTCACTACAAATTTCCTAGTGATTATTACCTTTTTATTTGAATAGCTTTTTGAGAAATTAGAAGAAAGAGATGCAAAGGACAATGTAAAGTGACACCTTCTCTCAACACCTTATACAGAGCCTTAACATTGATGAAGAGAATAGAATATAAATCATAATTTGTAAAATATGGATAATAGAATATTTGTCTTTATCCAAAGATGAGAAAATTACTGTTCTTGTTTCCATTTTCTACAGCTCTTTTTTTCTACAGTCAATTTTTGACTGTCAATGATCTTAGATCAATGTCCTTTTGTATTGAAATTTGCAGTGTTGAGAAATATGCCTGTCTTTTGCACCTCTAACAATGTAAGATAAATGAATAATAACTGAATGAGAACTGAAAACCCATGCACTTTTTTTTAGCTGATTGAGAAGTTCTCAGTTGAAAGACAGTGTTCTTATCTAATAGTGTCCCCCACAGTACTAACTATGAAAAAGTAATTTGCTAAGTAGCTTTTTTACCTATAACCTATGTGCAGTGAACAAGAAAGCTTCATAGACATAGGTAGGCATTCACCAATTAAGTAGAAACAAATTTATAATTTTTAACATGGTCATTCAGTTTAAAAAAGGATAGCCACTTCAAAGAATAGAACACATATAATAATTAGTTCAAGGCAAATCAAAGTATTAAACAGAAAAAAATAATTTAGGGAAAAAGTTGCTGATTGCTATTTCTTGAATTAATAACAATTCTGTAACCCTATAACTTGTAGTCAAGCTACTTTAAGGAAAGTAAAGTGATATTTTCCTCACTAAACATTTACATTTTCTGTTACAGTAAACAATGTTTGTTCTCAACAAATTGTGCAGAAGCCTTTTCATCTCTAGAATCAATGGTAGCTCAATTTTATCTTTGTATCTAAAAACATTAGCTCAAAATATGCAGAAAAGCTTAAAAATAAGTTGTAAAAGCATATCATTAATATTACTAAAGTATATCAAAAGTTAAATTAAGTGTATTGAATATTTAAACTATAAAAACTTTATAATGTAGGTTCACTTTTTACATACACTAAGGAAAATAGGGCAAAACAAAGATAAGTAAATTGCCCAACAGAGTAAAGATGAATCCATATCTAGCATGTGGAATCTGAAAATGATTAAAAGACAGTTGGAGACACTAACTGTGAGTCTACAAACACCAGGGAAATACATGTGAGAACTGTCTAGGCTAAATGCACAGAGATTTTCATAATAAAATTGGTATGTTTATGTTATAACTTGCTGTTTTGAGTGTATTTGCATTCACTTTTACATTTTATCCAAAGTAAAGGTTTTTTATTTCACATTCTCTAATCTTAACTTTGAATCCCTTGCTATGGTTTTCCTGTTGCATAGAATGATCTCCAGAGGCTTTACTTCAGAGCATCTTGGCTTTGCCCTGGGGAATTCTGTCAGAAATCTGAACAGAGTGGAATTATCTGCTGCTAAGGCATGTCCATCAATTAATGCAGGAAACTTGCATCGAAGGAAACCTAGTCAGCCCTGAGCTTCACTCTCTTTTAAAGCTTTAGGCAAAAAAAAAAATGCAGTTAGTTTGAAAAAATGTTTAATGTTTTTCAGAAAATAACAAGGTTAAGCTGACTGAGGTCATCATTTTCTGGTTTTCCTAATAGTTCTTAGCTAGAGCACTCTTTCTGAAAGCTCATCTACTTTTGCTGTTCAGCTCTGAATTTGTATCTTTGATAGTCCTATATCAGAAACACACATATATCACATCACACTACATTCTCTTCTTAGTTTGATTTCCATGTTCTGATAAACACCTTTGTAAGGAGAGATCCTGGATATCTGTAATGCCAACCAAGCCCATTTGGGTGTGGTCATAGGTACATAGAGGGGTAGGATAGAGAGAGGACAGGAGCCGCTACTTCTCTCTTTGGGTTCAAGCCATGTCTTGGAGGCATCTGGGATCTTGGGGGCTCAGAGTGCCCGTGTGAGTTGTTTTCATTGTTATCATTTATAGTATAACATCAATAAGCATATCTTGTGTATGGCTTGTGTTCCTTTTCACACCATGACAAAATACAATATGAGGGAGGATAAGGTTTGATGTGTAGCAGCAGTTCTCAACCTGTGAGTTGTGACTCAGAATACCATTGGGGAAAAAAAAACCCTTATATTTATATTATGATCCATAACAGTATCAAAATTACAGTTATGAATTATCAACAAAAATAATTGTGTGGTTGGAGCTCACCACAACATGTTGAACTATATTAAAGGGTCGCAGCAATAGAAAGGTTGAGAATCACTGTCCTAGAGTCATATTCTATCATTAAGGGAAGTCAGGGCAAGAACTGGAGGCAGGAATTTAAGCAGAGACCTTAGAGAATTAGGGCTTACTGTGATCTCTGGCTTAGTCTCAGCTAGCATTTTTGTACAACCCAGGACCATCTGTTCAGGAATAGCACCACCTACAATTGTTTGGTCCCTTCTCCCATCTATCAGAAATCAAGCCAATTTATGGAGACAGTTTCCTTGTGTTGGTATCTTTCTTCTGCAAATAAAGCCTGTCTGAAGGACAGCCCGCCAGCTAACAGTTGAGATCTGGAGGTCTTCTTCACTGAGTATATTTAAATATTATTTCGGGTTTGTCTTCATTTCAAACAGACAGGGTTTACATAAGAAAATACATAAAATAATGGATATGCCTAATAGACGGCAGAATGCACTCTGTTATTGGAGGATTTCTCATCTTCCAGACAGCAAGTACAAATCAGTTAGATCTTAATAGAAAACATTTCACTTGTTGAAAGTCAAGAGAAAAAGTACAAGCTCATTATCAGGAAAAAAAGAAATCTTTTCTAAATGTGATCATGTATTGTTTGGAAAGCATGTGAAAAAGCTTTACTTTACTTTTAGTATTTATTCCATCATTACATTCATAATGAAACAAATCAAAAACTAAGCCAAGCATACTTCCTCATATACATTGTCACATAAATATAAAGCTAGAACAATATCCAAATCAATGAAATATTTCAGGATGAGTAAAACCAACACTCATCCTGGAATGCTGAACAAACTTGTGCTTAATAAACTACCCATGTTATAGCAAGCACGTGTTATTGGTGGTTATATTTAATGGAATATAATTTGACATCTGAAACTTCACAATTCTATATTACAGTTTTTTTATCCTCAAAGGCTATAAGCACAATTGAGTAATTTACCAAAACCACAATAATGTTAGCCCAATATTGTATGTTTGAAAGACAAAAACAAAAATTTGAATTCAAATTCACACTTTATGTCTCAACAAATGCATACTGTTCTGCATTTAGTCTCAAGTACCAGCCCCTCATTTATAAGAGAGACTACTAAGTAATTCTACACTCTAGATTGAAGTTAGGATTATATACTGTTGACATAGTGTTATTTTTCTGACAAACTGAGGGGTTTTGAAGCTTCCTTTTAGGAAGGCAATACTTTACAGGAATGAATACTGAGAACATCACTTGGTTGGGTGCTATTTTTTCTGCATTTTCCCTATTAGTGCATGCTGTTTAAGTAACTAAAAGATTACCTGCTTTAATATGCCAGCTGCCATTTCATGGCTGCAGTCAAAGATCACATGGAACTCTTTGCCTCTTTTCATTTCTTTCAGCAAAGGCTTTGCATCCCTCGTATCAGCTGGCAGCTGACGGATTTTTAGTCGAAGATTGTACCTTGATGGAGCTTTGATGAGCTCTTGCAAACGAATGAGACCTTTAATTAAAAAGAAAAAAAAACAGCAGAAGCAAATAAGAGTAGCCCATAGAATAATGAAATATAAGCCTGAAGCATGATTATCTCAGTCACATGTAGGTGCTTTGATGTAGGTCATTGAACTAGAATTGGAATTCCTTTCTTCTTATCAACTTTTTAAAACAGTGTTTTATTATGTCTTTTAGTCTGGCCTGAAGCTTACTATGTACTATAAATTGGCCATGAATTACCAGAGATATTTCTGATTCAGCTTCCTGAGTTTTGTATAACTTTGTCAGGTAAACATATCAGTATGTATAACTTCATATATTAAAGAAATGTGCACTGTCCTTGACAAACATCTTTCAATAATGGCTCAAAATATATCAAATCACTGATCTATTTTAGAAAATCATGAATTATTTTAAATATTATGTCTATTTATTGATATAAATAATTTTCAAGTACTGAAACTCATTTAACATTTGATACACAAACCCCTGATACTTACAAAAAAAACACATAGTTAAAATGTGTCACTGAATTCTTTGTGATTTGTATCAAGTCAGAAAATGTCCTGTCCCCTCCTGTTCTTCCTTCTAATATCTGTAAAAACATCTGTATATTTCTTTCAGTCTTTCTCCTTTCTATAAAGAATTACTTTGATGAAATTTATTAACATAGTAGTAAGAAAAAAAATTGTAAAGGACTAATATGCCCCATTTTCTCTGTCCTTCCTCTAAGTATATGAGCATGTTACCTATTTACATTTGCTAACAGGATGGAAATAAACTCTGCAACTAAAAACCCACTCTATATTCAAGTAACTTGCCAGATGAGAATAAAACCATAATTTGTTATTTTAACTAACCATAAACATTTTAAAAACTATTTTTTCATTATCAATATAGTACCATTATAAACAAAATTATACATGTTGTTGGAGATTCAAACAATTACTAAAACATAAGATGATAATAAAGCAAAATTTCTAAGAATCTCTCATTTAAATTGATTCCCTTTTAAAAAATCTAAATGTCTACCCTATCCATAATATGTAAATGCAAACACATAAGATACTAGTCTTGACCGGATACAAATAAGAAATTTATTCAGCCTATTTATTTTAGTAGATTGTATGATAATTGAATCCAAAGTTTACTCTAGCTTGGATGGTGACTTTGGTTTTGGGTTCAACAATCAACAATCTGTGTAGCTTTGTGCAAGTTGTGATCTCTAATAGGATAACACTGTATATGAATTAATATATAAAACACAAAAAGAAGCTTGCTTAAATTGACCTTCAACAAACAACAATTTGCCATTGTTGTTATATTGCACAACACGGAAAATAGGATATATTTTTAAAACCATTCTTGAAACACATTTGTCACTGATTTGGAGAGTAAAAACCTAATCTCAAAACTTTACAAAAATATTTTGGGAGATTCATGTGTTAACAAAGGAGGGGAGTTATCAAGTTACAAATTAACTCAACAATTTGGAATGTAAAAGTTCAACTGGACTCAGACACTTTCAGAAGAGTGGTGTTTGCCAAGCTGATCCCAAATATAAAGCCTGCCAAGTATTTTCAAGTATTTTAAAAGCTCCTGTGGATAGTTCATTGAGCCATCAGGTACGATAAATGTTTACTTATTCCCTTCACACATACACATCCCTGCTGGCATTAATGGAACAGATTTCAGCTTGCCAGCTTCCCTGGGGAATGATATTGAAGAGTGAAAAAAATAAATCACTGTTGCTAGTAGGAGCTACTGTCTCTTACACAAGAATTAGAGTGAAATATTGGCTCAATTATTCCTTTGATGTGTGCTTTGTGCATGACTTCTGTATGGAAGACACTGTGTCATAGATAAATATAATCATTGAAATAATCATTTGTATCTAGTCTTTAACTGCAATTGATTGAGGTGACAAAAGCATTAGTATATAAGTGTAGTTTCTACTGACGTTTCACCCTTAAGTACTTGAATAAAAATGCCCCAGTATTTCCACGAGAAAGAGAGAATCTGGAGAGTAGTTTGAAAGTCAAGTGGAATCAGAGTTTTATATCCTCACTTTCAGTCACCTTCTACATCAGATGGCTGGAGAACTTTTGTGAATTCTAAGCCTCCAATTTTTCTATCACATGATATAATTTCTCTGCTTCCCATATCTTCTCTTTTTCCTTGCCTTCCCCTTTCTCTAATATTTTAACAGAAATTATTTTCTAAATTCTAGAATTTTGAATATCTTGCATAAATGGGAGAGGACTAACAAAGTAATTCATAATGCATTTAAGACAGCAATAGGATGAATATTTTCCTAATTATTCTATGTGAAATATTTGATAACTTCCCAGTAATATAGTTGATGAATAAATTTTTATTCCAGTGTATCTCTTTATTTTTGATTATTTCTTTTTAGATGCTGATATAATTACATAATTCCTTGATTGCCTTTCCTCTCTCCAAACCCTCCCATATACCCCCCTTTATCAAATTGATATTCCCTTTTTTCATTCATTGATATTACATATATATATATACAATTATATTTTATGTTTATACAATTATACAATTGTATGTTCATACAATTATGTTTATACAATTATGTAATATATATATATATATTCCTAAATAAATAATTATAGCCTAAACATAAGCTGGACAAAAACAACAGATGTAGGTATATTAACTGTAGCCAACTAATGAATGCTGTGAGTGGAAAAGGCTTCTGCATTGAGGATGCACATAAATTAGTTTATTTCATATATATATATATATCAATTGTACATATTACTAAGGCCAATTCATGCAAAAATTATATTGTCCCTCAAACTATTTTATCCACCACCATGTTATTCTACCCTACAGGTATGATAGAGATTTCCTCCAAAAGGAAGTGAGCATAAACTTTAAAAATTCTATAATTACAAAATTAACTGTGTCTCATTAACTGTCTCTCTACCTAATCCAAATGTCCTTCCCTTTACACCTTATTATAAGGTAACCTGCTACATTTTATCTGAAAGATGTTCTTGTACAAACCATCCATATGCAAACAAATATGCCTTCTTATAAAGAATCTATAAGATTTATATGATCATCTTTTTCTCTGCCTAGGAGAAAAATCTCTCAAAACAGTTAACATAGTTTACACATAGTCCTGTTTTACATTAATTTGGTGATAATGGAAAATACAGTGACACATCTATTATATTTAAAGGGGCACAGACATTTTACTAAAAATTTGCTTAATAAAAATAATTTGCAAACAAAATTTCAGAAATACCATTTAACAAATTTAGCAACCAATTATTTAATGGCAGAATAGAATTGTAACTCTTTAAAACAGACTTTTAATTAAATACTGTCTTTCCCCTAAGTAATTAGTTTATATAATTTGGAAAATGAGCTACATCTTGTTACCTCTGAATACATCACTATATGTGTGGTGTTGTTGGTTTTTAGACCATTTAAACTCTCTTTTATTTCAGCAGTGATTGAATTCAAGGTTTGCTTTATCATTTATGGACAAAGGTCTGAACTGCTCTTTTCAGACATTGTCATCAATTTAGCTCTTAAGGAGAATCCAGAAGGAGCCGTTTATACACACTCCACTTGGCACCCTCCTTTACAGAGATCAATCACACCATATCTCATGTAGATTCATGCTTCCCTAGTTCCAGGAAGGCAGTCCCCAGGTTCATCCTACACCCAAGTATCCATTTCAGCAGCCAAATGAGCTAGAGATTTGCCACCTGGATAAATATCCAGGCCCATTTATCAGGTTGGTTAATATGGTCTTTGTGCAAACTAAGTTAGACTCCAAACAAATACATTTTAAAATTATCAATATGAAATATGACTATTCTGGATTCCATGTTTCATCATCACCCCTCTGTTTAAACTGAGAAAAGAAAACCATGCATGAGGAGCCAAAATACATTATTTTCATGGGTTCTTTTTATTAATTTTTTTAGAATACATCAGTGTTTTAAAAAAACCTGTATAATGTATGTACACATGTAGGGACAATAAGCCACGCCTGTTAGAAGCTGGCTGCAGGTGTGCGTGACCATGCCTGTCAGGAAGTGGTCAAGGTGAGGTCAGGATGAGTGTGAGTGGTTCTTAAAGGGAAGCAAAGAACATTGGAGCCCCTTCTCTCTCTAGCCTGGCTGCCTTGCTGCCCTGGCATGCTCTGGCTTGCATTTGGCTGGTGTTTATCTGAATAAGGATATCTTAACCATAGGGATTAAGGATCGGCTCTCGTTAAATACACATGTGGTGATATTTGGTTTATGATATAACAAATAAAGCTTGCCTGAACATCAGAGTGTGAAGGTAGCCACACTAGTTAGCCATAGAGGCCAGGTAGTGTTGGCACACACCTTTAATCCCAGTACTTGGGAGACAGAGGCAGATGGATTTCTGTTAGTTCAAGGCTACCCTGAGCTACAGAAAATTGATCCAGTCTAAAAGAGAAACAGAGCCAAGGGGTCGTGGCTTACACTTTAATACCAGTACTTGGGATTCGTACACCTTTAATCCCAGAATTAGGGAGGTGGAGACAGTAAGGGATACATCTCTGTGAAAAGAGGAATATTAAGGCAGGAGGACACAGGACTATTCCGTGTGAGGATTCCTAGAGAGAGTATTGCCCATTTGGTCTGAGGATTAGGTAGGTGGAGGTAACGACTAGTTTCTGGCTGCTCTGCTTCTCTGATCTTTCAGCATTTACCCTGATATCTGACTCATGATTAAGACCAATTAGATTCATACTATATATAACCATAAAGATAATTTAACATATGTTAATGCTATGAAAATAGCCAAATAAGCAAGGTATCCACTTACAAAAAACAAACTACACACACACACACACACACACACACACACACACACATGAAATTCGCTCCTTGGGGTAAGTATTTATGCTCAAAGCAGACAACATGTAAAAGAGCTAATACACTTTTAAGTTTCTAATTTCCAAACGTTGAGGTCTTGCCAAACTGTTTC